GAGAGAGAGAGAGAAGAGGGATGGAGAGAGAAGAGAGCGGGAGGGAGAGGAGAAAGGGAGAGGAAGGGAAGGAGAGAGGAGAGGGAGAGGGAGGGAGGGAAGGAGAGAGGGAGGGAGAGCGAGAGGAGAGCAGGAGGGAGAGAGAGGGAGAGACTCAGAAACAGGTGATGCTTCAGTTGCATTGTTGTAGTTCTTTAATTTCCTGACCACATTCAGTGACTGGCAGCATTTTTTTACCTGGAAGTAGCATTCAACTTATGACCACAGTTGGGATCAGAATTTCCATGGCTAAGCAGGGTGGCTGCTAAAAGAATTGCCCCTCATATTAATGACCTTTCCCCCCCCCCCCCCCAATCATTAAGCGAATCCCTGCCGTCGTAAAGCGAATAATGCAGTTGTTAAGCAAGCCTGGCTTCCCCTATTGACTTTGCTGGCGGTGAGAAGCCAGCCGTCACATGACCTGAGGTTGCCACAATAATTATAAATAAGTGCTGGTTGCCAGGTGCCTGCATTTGGACCACATGACCGGGAGGATGCTACGATGGTTGCGTGTGTGAAGACTAGTTGTGAGTCACATTTTTTTTTTTTTAGTGCTGTAGTAACTGTATACCTAGGTCTATGAACCAGTACTGTATTTCTTTCTTCCCCCTGCTGGCAAGCCAGGATTCTCTGAAAGAAAAGCAGTAGCTTCACAGGAGTTCAGAAAATAACCTGTTTGTAAAAACCCTTCTGCAAATGATGCTAAGTGATCGGCTTTATTGTTATATTGTACGTTATTAATAATAAGGGACGCGGTGGCTCAGCGGCTAAGACCACTGAGCTTGTCGATCAGAAAGGTCAGCAGGTTGGCGGTTCAAATCCCTAGCGCCGTGTCACAGAGTGAGCTCCCGCTACTTGTCTGAGCTTCTGCCAACCGAGCAGTTTGAAAGCATGTCAAAATGCAAGTAGAAAAATAGGGACCCCTTTGGTGGGAAGGGAACAGCGTTCCATGTGCCTTTAAAGGCATTTAGTCATGCCGGCCACATGACCACGGAGATGTCTTCGGACAGCGCTGGCTCTTCTTCGGCTTTGCAACGGAGATGAGCACCGTCTTCTAGAGCAGGAAACAACTAGCACGTATGTGCGAGGGGAGCTTTTACCTTTACTTTATCAGAAGAATGGAAGTCTTGGTGGTCCAAGAGTCATCATACCAGGAAGATGGAACGCTTGTCTTCAGGCAAAATCCACCAAAGAATTCTAGGTGTGGCCCGTGACCTCCTGAATTTGGTTCCTCCCTTCTTCAGTTCCTTGTCCCTTGGCAGCAAGGTAGACCTGACTTAGAGTTAGACTTAAATAACGTCATGGTCACTTTGAATGTACACTAATTGGCATAGATTAAAATGAAATTTCATTTTAATAGCTCTCAAAGGTACACTACATAAACATATAGTTTATGCATTACAATATTTGGTAATATTATAAACTATTAATATTTATTACAAACTATTATATTATTAAATATTTGATAATATTTATTACAAGCTAACTAACTAACTAGTTCGGATGTATATATGTATGTGGCGAGAAAAATGAATCTTGTGAGTTTACCAGGATAGGGTGGGATAGGATGGGATGGGATGGGACTACAGTACATTAGAATGGAATGGAATGGAATAGAATAGGAAATAATAGAATGGAATGGAATGGAAAATGGAGAAAAAAGAAAAAAAAAGAAAATGAAGAGGATAACTTTATTGTGACTTTGAATGTACATTGATCGGCATACATTAAAGTGAAATTTCGTTGCATAAGGCCCTCAAAGAGTCACCACCCCAAATTTTACACTACATAAACATGACAAAATAAATAAATGAATACAGATAACTACGGAGGGCATAGGGAGCAAAGCTGTTACAGAGCCTGGTAGCCCTGCTAGAAATGCTTCAAAACCTGGAGAGTAGAAATCCAATATTTTTGGAGGGTGCCTGGTTAGGGGAAGCTTGTCAAGGCCCATTTATTAGCCAGTAGATTTAAGAATCTTATGCTAGCCAGAAACAGCTCAATCAAGGTAGCTGTACCTTGATCTGCATTGTCCAGTTTCACCACTTACATCCTTGCACTGCCAAGCTACACACCCTTCCTTTGTGTGTGTGTTTTCTGCTCCTTCCTTATTGATAAAAGGAAGGGCATGCGTGTCTTTCCGTTTTTTAATTATTGATACACAAGTCTCTTCGAGAAGCAGCATAAAAGAGCTATTGACAAGAGTTTGGGCGTGGCTGCCTTGAACTGAATATATGAACATAAGTCGTCGTCAGAGTATTGTCATAGGCCCAGTCCAAATGAACCCAACGCAAGATGGAAGCCTCTCCATTGAAGCTGGTGGACCACAATCTGCCATGCTGGTCCAGTGCGAGTTGTTTTTCGATAGATGCTTTTCAGCTTCCCCAAGTCAAGTCTATATCGCAGGTTTTTAGACGATCAAACATGCAGCTCTTGGGGCATTGTTCATTTTTCAGCACAGGAATAGCGCCGGTTTGCTTTAATGGTCTTTCCAGAGAAGGGTTTCTCAAATCTTCACCACCCATTCAAAACAGAAAAACTGGCAACTCATTCCCGCCATTATTCAGGAATAGTTGAACACCTGCTTGCAAACAATGATAGTAAAGCCTTAGGAACGGGAAAGCAGGTCCCAATTGGAGTAAACACTACCATAGAGACAAATGGCCTGGCAGTAAGGCAGCTTCCTGCATTTTGTGTTACCTAATGTTTATGAATTGTTTTCATTTCAAAATAAGTGTTTTCATTTCAAAATAAAATAACAGCAATGAATTGGAATCTTATTTCCTTAAAGGGGTGTTTGGGTTCTTTTTTATCTTCCTTCGTTCCTTCCTTCCTTTCTATATCTTTTAACGTTCTTTCTAAATAAAATTACTAGGGAAATAAAACACGAGCCAGTGGATAATTGGAGGTTGCCATTTTACACCTGCAGTTTGCACTAATGTTTATATTGATGTGTTTTCTTTTAATTATAGTCCTAAAAAGGAAAAAGAAAGATGACAATTCCACTTATAATTTTTAATGCGTTCTTCTAAAAGTCTTCATAGACGCAGGAAAAGTTGAGAGCCATCGATAGTGCCCCATACTTTGTTTTTCTTCTGATGATCTTTCTTAGCTATGACATGGCTGGCTCTTAATTGTTCAAGAAGAAAAACATACAGTAAAACCACTGCCATATTAACAGAAAATGTACCTCAGATCATTCCCCCCCCACCAGTTGTGGTAGCTGAGAACCTCCATTTTAGATTGATTTCTCCTGTGCCGGGGACACACACACAACCACTCAAACTGTTATTTTAGGAGAGATGTAAAATGTAAGTTTCTGAATCACCAAGTAGTTGGAACATGAAAGCAGATTGTGCTTATCTCCGGTAAATTCTGCTTATTTCTCAAGAGAGGCTGGCGGTTGCTAGAGATGGGCAGAGGAAAACACTCCATCCAGGAGTGTTTGTCCGATTTTACTCATTTTGGTGTGGGACTGACGGGGGTAGATTGCAGGGGTGGTACCGAAATATAATTGTATCATATTTTATTTATCTATATATTAAATGATTGTGCTTTATTCCAACTTCATTTTAAACCTTATCCCAATTCCATTTTAAATTGTACTTTATCAGATTTTATTTTTTAAAAAATTTAAAAATAAACTTTATTAGACATAAAAAAAATACATAATACAAAACATTTCGTAAAATACGAAACCAGAAAGATATACATAACCAATAAACATAAAAACAAACATTTCTAATTACTTAGTCGGTGTGTCATTAATCAAACAATTTTCCAGTACTCACTTCCTATACCTGGTAAATACTCTTATCATAACCTCTTTATATTTTCAGATTTTAGTAATAAAATTTGTGCCTGGAACTCTGCACTCTGAAAATAAGCTAACCAACCCAACTCATTTTGGTGCTGGGGGAAAGTAAGTTTCCTTCCTTGTCAGGAAGCCCTCTTCCTATTCCGTTGTGCCTAAGCCTCCCAGATCTGCAAAATGTACTTTCTAGGCATCATTTACTGCACTCCTTATTGGGCCAGGAAGTGTGAGGGTTAATCACACGCTTCGTCAGAGTTGCTGACGAAGGTCGAGACAGGGCAGGTCTAAGGATTGTAGGTTGAGGGAGAGTCCCGCCTGTTCTCTCACAACGGGAGAGGCAGCAAGACTGACTCCGAGCAACTCCAAGGACCAGAGGAGGAAGAAGAAGAAGAAAAATTGTGGTGAGAGGGCTACCAAATTCGCTGTTGCTGGGAGGAGGGTTAATTCGCAGCCTTCCTAAACCTGGTTAGACTCCAGGGGGCTGGTTCTGGCAGAAAGAAGCGGTGCAGGTGCTAGCTTACTACCGTACTCGTGTGCTTCTACAAAACGACCCGTTTTCTGTAGGTGAGCCGTTTGGACAAGTGTTGAAGGACATGTCTGGATAAGCTTTTCTCTTGGGGTTCAGCCAATGGGAGAGGGAGCCTCTCTGCTGTCATCCCATTTACATGTCTCAAGGAGCGTCCTGGATCTTCACTGACTTCTTTTGCTGGTTGTGGTGGATCTAGTTTCCAGAGAGGAAGAGAGAGAGAGAGCAGACGTGCTGGAGATATTGGAAGAGTTAGAGAGCAGAAGTACTAGAGATACTTTCTTAAACAGTGAAAGGGTAGAGAGCAACATTTTTCTGACTTTAAACCTGGATAGAAAACAGTCACTTTCTGAAATCTTGTCCCGTCTGGAGCAAGGAAAGTCCTACATGAGTTCCATTGTCAAACAAGTAGCATCGTGATAATAACATATGTACCTCTGTAGATGAGCAGCCTACAAGGACTGCACTCAGCCCCTATTCTGGTCATCCCTCTTCTTTCAGGCACTGTAAAGGGATGAAATACTAGTTTGTCCTGTCCTCCTGGATGGAAACCTTGAGGTATTTTTTTCCCCTTCATCCTAAGCCTGACTGTACATGTTTTGTCTCTCTTAGCTTGGATACGGAGCCGACCATGAACCACTTGGAAGGAGACTCGGAGGTCTACAAACTGATGCAGGAAAACCGTGATACGAGGGCTGCACCACGGCAGTCCAGCACTTTCCGCCTACTCCAGGTGGCTCTGGAATTGGATGAAAAAGGTGAAAGAGGCAGAGGGTGGGCAGGGTTCTTATCTGTGGATAGAATGAAGACACGTGGCACAACTGGCTTTGCATTTTAATCCAGACGTGTTCCGATCTAGTGTTTTCTGTTGTAGTCGTTTTTTTTCTTGTGTACGTTATAGAAACACATGTTTGCAAAAATATGATAATGGGAAATGCTTCTAATAGCATAAAATGAGCTTGTTTTCTCTTCTTTTCAAAATCACAAGGTGTGAGGGTTGGAAGTAAGATAGAACAAACCAACTGGAGAAAAAAATATATGAGAAACTTGGTAACATTAACTTTGGTAGATCGGCCTTTATTCATTTGCGACCATGTAATAATCTCATGGGATAAAAGTCTTGTTCCTTCCAGTTTTAACATTTTTATTGAGTTATAAACTATTATGAGATACAAAGGCAAATGGAAAAGCAGTGAAGAAGAAGAGGGGGAAGAGAAGTGAGGAAGGAGAAGAAAGGAAAGATAAGCAGCATTGACTTGTGACACTCTCTGTTGCAGTAAAAAAAGGCATTAGCATCAAATCACAACTTTTTGTTTTTTGTCATAATGATATGAACAGGTCTTGTTCCTTTTATGGCTGGTCTAGTTTGCTGCCCTGTTTGTGTGTGGTGGGGGGGGAGAGAGGGAGGAAGCAAATAAGGGAGGAAACTTAAATTCAAAAGGCAGATAAACCAGCATTTTAAACCAGCCTCTGGATGGGCTATAATCTTTGTTGACAGACGACAGTAATCAGCGGAAAGCTTTCAGCTGACAGACTTTTAATTGGTAGTTTTAATAATGTAAGGGCATGGAGGTTTCTGATGGATGCCACTTTTTCTTCAGAGGAAAGGAAACAAGAAAATTATAAACAATCATGTTTCCCTTCTAAACCTGTGCAGATACATTGGCCTGCTCAATGCGCCATCCTGAACTTGCTTCAGCTATTAACACTGACACTGAAAGAAGGAAAAGTATTCATTCAGTGAAATACTTCTTTTGAGGCTGCAGATGTGATTTTTTCATTGAGAAGAAGAAAAAAAAAACCACCTTAATTTCTGGGTTGATATACATAGGATTGTACATTCTTTAAAGCAAGGGCCCTCAAACTTGGCAAGTTTAAGACTTGTGGACTTCAGCTCCCAGAATTCCTGAGCTAACATGACCGGAGGAGGAATTCTGGGAGTTGAAGTCCACAAGTCTTAACGCTGTCAAGTTTGAGGACTCCTGTTGTAAGCGATTGACAAATCAAATAAATAAATAAAATAAAAATAAATAAAATCATCTATCTTAAACAGGGATCCCCAAACTTGGCAGCTTTGAGACTTGTGGACTTCAACTCCCAGAATTCCTGAGCTAACATGACTGGAGGAGGAATTCTCGGAGTTGAAGTCCACAAGTCTCAAAGCTGTCAAGTTTGAGGACCCGTTTTAAAACCAGTTTTTTTTATAAAAAAAATGCTGTTTTCTAATGTACCTTCTGTCCTGCTTTGACAGAGGGCACAGCAAGCCATTTCCCCAGCCAGCTCTCTCCCAGTTTGCACAAGCCGGTCAGCAGCACTACAGCAGGGAACGCTCAGAAGCTGCACACCTGTGAGAAATGTGACAGCCCCATCACGTGAGTATGGCTAATCCTAAAGTAGGATTTGGTACCAAAGGGCCTGGAATAGAGAAGGCCTATTTCAACTATTTGAGGGGTTTGCCACATGGAAGAGGGGATGATTTATCCTCCAAAGCACCTGAAGGCAGGAGAAAAAAAAGTAATGGATGGAAATGTCTGAAGATTCTCCATCATCCAGGCCATGGTTGTCCCGAAGATGCTTTCTCAAGAGGCCACCGGACATAGAAAGGCTTTCCTTTGAAGACATTTTCGTTTCTCATCCAAGAAGCTTCTCCAGCAGAGAGCAGAGCTGGAGAAGCTTCTTGGATGAGAAGCGAAAACGTCTTCAAAGAAAAACAAGGAAGTCCAGTTGCCTCTTGGAAAAAGCCCCTTTAGGATAATGGATGGAAGCTTATCAAAGAAAGATCCAACCTAGAATTAAGGGGAAATTTCCTGGCAGTGAGAACAATTAATCAGTGGACTGACTTCATCTCCAGATGTTGTGGGTGCTCTGTCCCTGGAGATGGGACAGCCATTTGTCTGGAATGTTATTGGTCCTTCCAGCTCTTGTTATTCTGGTAAGCAAAGAGAAGGACATGGGGCAACTTGATGGGCTGGACTACAGAACCACATGGCTGGGCATAATGCTAGCTTGGCCCAGCGCAGGCCATTCAAAATTTTGACTTCACTGAAAAAAGTGACCTATGATCAGTCCTCTACTTAACAGCCATTACATTCCTTGAAGTCACGTGATCACAGTCCAGGCACATGGCAGCTGGGCTCACACTTATGACAATTGCATCATCCTTCCATCACGTGGTCATCATTTGTGATCTTCCACATCAGCAAAGGGGGAAGCTGGCTGGAGGTTGCAAGCCACAGTCACATGGGATGTCTCGCTTCATGACCACCTCCAAAAAGGAGGTGGCATCAGCCGCCACCATACAACTCCTCATTGAATGATCGCATCGCTTAACTAATTTTCCAGTCTCTATTTGTGGTCCTAGGTTCAGGTATTTGGATTTGATCTGGGGCAGGAGGCCCTGCCACTACCCCCTTCAACAGGGCAAAGTGTTTGTTATTTATAGCCCTCTGGTGGGTAGAAATTCCAGCAGCTGTTTACAGAGTGTGTGAAGAGCCAGCATGCCAGTGGTGGGATTCAAATTTTTTTACTACTGGTTCTGTGGGTGTAGCTTGGTGAGTGTGGTGGGCATGGCTTGGTGGACATAGCAGGGGAAGGTTACTGCAAAATCTCCATTCCCTCCACACCCCACTAACCTGCTTTCCAGCTCCGTTCTCCTGTGCAGGGCAACCAAAGAAGACCCAGCCGATCAGCTGGGACTCAAGGGGAGGCAGGGAATAGATGGGGTTGGCGGGGCCAGTCAGAGGTGCCATTTGCTGGTTCTCCAAACGACTCAAAATTTCCGCTACCGGTTCTCCAGAACTGGCCTGAACCTGCTGAATACCACCTCCGAAGCATGCCCTGATGATGCGTAATGAATTTCTAGCAGGAAACTTTCATTAAAAAAAAAAAAGACACAGAAAGGAAAACGGTTTGGTAAGGAGGAGGGTCTATTTTGAACCAGTGAGCAGAGTAACAGTAGTTGAGGCATTTGCTAAGGTGGTGATTGTAAGCGTGCATTTTTTGTTTTTGGTGTTAATGTTAGTAATTTATTAAAGAAATTATTTTGCAAAAAGGCAATTGGACTTTCTTGGTTTTTTTCCCTTTTCTTTGAAAACATTTGTTTTTCATCCAAGAAGCTTCTTTAGTTCTTCGGAACGTTTTAAAAGGGGGAAAGAAACAAACAAGAAAGTCCAGTTGTCTTTTGGGGAAAATAAAAAAACACCTTTGGGGACAACCATGACTTGGATGATTAGGAATCTCCATAGCTAGTTTATTAAACATCTGTGCCTGCTGACTGGGCAGTTCACAAGGAAGAAGTTGCGATAAAAATCAGTCCACAATACAGATAAACGATAGCAAAGAGGATGAATCTCTCTTTCTTCAGATCTTCAAAGGGATCCTTGGCCCAGGGATTAAAGCCACAGGTGGGGCAAGGGATAAGCACTCAGGACGGTTTTGGGCCTGAATATTTTTTCCTGAATAAGAGCTGCGGATGATTTTGGTAATTAATGATTTTGCAACCCACAACTGGAAATGGCAGTGTAACCTGCCAGGCTGGAAAAAAAGGAAAGAGGAGTGGATGAAGATGAACCATGCAAAGAGCAGCCATATGAGAGGTCAGGCACTGGTCCCTTCGATAATACATGTCGTATTTGACTTACAACCATTCATTTAATGAACTGTTTGAAGTCACAGCTGCATTGGGGGGGGGGGGGAGGGACTTTACAACCAGTTCTTCCGCTTACAACCAATGTATACCATCAAGATCAAGTGAGGTACTAATACCACTCTATAAAGACTTGGTAAGACCACACCTGGAGTACTGCATCCAGTTTTGGTTACCATATTTTAAAGAGGTTGAGACTCTAGAAAGAGTGCAGAGAAGAACAACCAGAATGATGAAGGGACTGGAGGCTAAAACATACGGAGAACGGTTGCAGTGAAGAGAAGGACCAGGGGAGACATGATAACAGTCTTCCAATACTTGAGGGGCTGCCCCAGAGAGAAGAGGATCAACCTGTTTTCCAAGGCTTATAGTGGACTATAGAAGGAACAGATCAGACATCCAGCCCTGGTTTATCAATGGAGACCGAGTGGAGCAAGTGGCCAGTTTTAAGTTTCTGGGTGTTACCCTAAAAAAGGACCTGACCTGGGGTATTCACATTGCAGCCCTGGTCAAAAGGGCCCAGCAGAGATGATACTACCTGAGGCTTCTCAGGAAACAACTGAATTGATAACTGCTGGTGACCTTCTACCGCTGCACCATGGAGAGTATCTTAACTTACTGCACCTCTGTATGGTTTGCCAGTTGAACAGGGGCAGATAGGAAAGCACTCCAGAGGGTTAACATCATTGCCCAGAAGATCATTGGCTGCCCTCTCCCCTCTTTGGAAGAGCTTTAGAGCTCCCGCTGCCTTAAGAAAGTTCAAAACATTCTCAAAGATCCATCTCATCCTTTTTTTTTAACTATTAGCATGACAATAAAAACAAGGACGAATAGGCTGAAAAACAGCTTCTATCCCAGGGCAGTAGCTCTTTTGAATTCTGCTGTATAGTGCATTGTTGGTGCGGTGTTGGGGGTTTTCGGTTCAATGTGTGGAGGGTGAAAGGTGTGTGTTTGTGTTTATTTTCATGGTCATGATGTGCACTGAAATGGAGTTTGATTTCATTGTACGAGGTGCAATGATAATAAAGTAAAGTAAACTAAAGAATGCTTGGTTAAACCAAGCATTTCAGAGAGTTGGTGACCCTTGGATGATGATGACGGTTGGCTTGTTGTAGATCGGGGGTGTCCCACCAAGGCAAATTTAAGACTTGTGGAACTTCGACTGGTGGATTGATGATTGGGAATTTCTGGAAGTTGAAGTCCACAAATCTTGCCAAGATTGAACCACCTGCTGCTTGTCGATGCTTAGTCCTCTTTTCTCACAGGACTTCTCTTCTGCTCCACCTTCCCCAGATACCAGGCTGTGAAGATCCAAGAGAACCGCTACCGCCACCCATCTTGCTACGTTTGCACCGACTGTGGGCTCAACCTGAAGATGCGTGGCCACTTCTGGGTTGGGGAAGAGATGTATTGTGAGAAACACGCCCGCCAGCGCTACCAGAGCCCAGCAGAGGGCGGCACTGTCCTGGCTGTCTATTCCCAGTCTTAGATGATAGCGGAGCTTGGGAGGCTTGAAGAGGAGGAGGAGGAATTGCAGTCAAATGGAGATTTCCAGCAGGGATCTACGCAAAAGCTACTTCTCACCAAACACGATTCAGCCCTTTAAAGACATCTGCGGGAAAGGAGGTTTTGGGGGGCAAGAGGTCAAGGGCCACCATCGCAACTCAAAATGTCATGCAAGGATCTTTGGGGAAAGCGTCGAGGGAGGGAGAGGGCATTCTTCAAGGCAAACGGCTTTTCTTTTCTTTCTTTCTAACTACCATAGTTTGGGGCCATCTTTCTTCAAGGAACAAATGTTCGCTGGCGAGGACATTTGTCCGTTTGACAGCTTCAGAAATGACGGCTCCCCGCTTGATGCCAAGTAGGCCTTAGTTCCTGCACTCTGGGAAGCGATCGCCGTGCTTGTATTAATCCTGGTTTGTGTCCAGCAGCTCCCAGAAGCGACGGGAGTTTCTTAACAACTTGGTTTTGTGGCTGAAAGCACTTCTGTCTTGCCCCCGTTGCCAAGCGCTCCCTGCCCCAAGATCAGTGGTGGGATTCCACATTTCTTCCTACTGGTTCTATGAGAGAGTGCTTTCTGCTCCCAGTACGCCAGAACCGGTGCCAACCGGCTGAATGCCACCTCTGCCCAAAATGCAAAATCTAAGACTGAAGGGAAGTTGGAATCTCCCTGGGTCCTGGACGGCGTGGATTCAACTCTGAATGGTGACTTTCCCTGTGACGCTTCTCTTAAGATATTAAGCCAGATCTCTATGTGAAATATAATATATATGTATAATGTATATGTATAAGTATAAGGATGGATAAAACAATCGGCCCATGTCTGCCTTTGCTTTTTGTCTCTTCCCTCTGAGGTCAGGAAGGAGTTTTTGTAATTTTTAGCACAGACTAGTGGGTAGTTTTTTTTTTTTTTAAAAAAAGCTTTTCAATTTAATAATCGTATGAAATAGCTTTGGCTGCAAGCTACTGCAATAACTGTTTGCAGGATCATCTGAATGCTCTTTATTAATGTGGATATATTTATTGAAAGAGACGTCTAGTTGTTCCCAGTGGTGGGATTCAAATAATTTAACAACCCGTTCTCTGCCCTAATGACCGGCTGGGTGGGTGTGGCCATGGTGGGTGTGGCCAGGGATGCGTGACAGGTAGCACTTGGCCTCCTGCACCTCCCTGGGTGCAAAAATGCACACACACCCCGCACCTGGTTTTGGGCCTAGTAGGCCAAATGGGGAGCCAAAATGGGGCGCGTGAGGACTCCAGCGTGGCCAGCCAGCAATTTAACAACTGGCTCAGTGGCTGAAGTGCTGCGAACCGGATGAATCCCACCACCGTTTGTTCCCCTGTCCCCTGAGGCAAGGGTGAGCAGTCTTGTCAGAATAAGGAGGATTTGCACAAAAGTAGTCCTTGACTTACAGCCATAATTGGGGCAGGAATCACAGTAGGAAGTTCTGCCCGTCGTTAAGTAGGTCTCCAAATGACCACAGCAGATTTTTACCTTTTTTTGCAACAGCTGTTCAACGCCGTGATGGTTACTCAAACTCGTTGTATCCAACGGACTTAACCCATCATAAATTGTGGTCGTGTGATTGCAGGACTTTGCAAATGATCATAGTTGCAAGACAGTTGCTATGCCAAACACCCCAAATGCAATCAGGGGACTGTCAGAACTTTGAAATTGGTTTGTAAGTACTCTTTTTTGGGGGTGGGGAGAGAGATCTGCTATAACTTCAATCCGTCGCTAAGCAAGCGGTTGTAAGTCAAGGACTACCTGTGTTTATAATTATATATGTCCCAGGGTGTGGAGGATAGGAAGAGGCTGGCTTTCTTTTTATTTGTGGGGGAGGATATTAGAGAGGTGACTTCAGTCAAATATTTAGCCAGTTCGAGGCTCAACACAGTAAGTGCTGTTTTTTTGTTACCTGCCTGAATAGTGAGAGAACCTCACCTGTGTTTGCAAGGTTCACTTTCTGCCACGTATGTCCTCATTTTCATAACAGGAGTTCAGTGGGGCTTTGAGGTTGCATTTCTTTTGATTGGATACGTACAAGAGTTGGCCTCTCCCTGGTGGCCGAATGCCATTTCTAGAGGCAATGATCTATTCAAAACCGTTCTTGGAAAACAGGTACTCTTGTGCTGGTTCAACACATTGTGGTTTTCCGTTGTGCCAATTGCACTATGTACAGTGAGTGGTGGTGTGATTGCTCCTAATGTTTTCTCCAAGGTCTTTTTTTCACTCTCACCTAATGTGATGACCCAAAGGGGCGTGGCACAAAGGCAGCACAGTCAGATAATCAAGAAGAGTCCCTTTATTAGCTCCAACTTTGCCCCCAATGTCCTGGTTCCCTTCTGACTGGAGAAAAAAACTCTCCCAGGAACAGCCTTTGGCTGAAGAGAATCAAGTCCAAAACGTGGTCAACAAAAACTGTAACTGTAAATCCAATCAAGGCAAAATGAGGTAATTAGTTCACAGGGCAGGAACAAGAATCCCAGACATGAAGGCATGGCAATAATTCAACATGGTTGGGAAGATGCCAGGAAAACAGAGAAGCAAAGTCAGATAAACTCATGTTTGCTCCCAGCAGCTGCCACAGTCAGCATGCATTTCTTTTAAATTCCCTTCCCAGCTGCGGCTAATGAAGGGAATCAGGGCCTTTTCTTCCCCCATAAGCCACACAACCCACGTTGCTCTCTTCTCCGTTCCTCCCTGCGTGTCCTAGGATGAAGAAAGGATGGACCTGGGTCTTCCGCTGAACTCCCCCTCCCTTGTTCTATCTCTCCCCTGCTCTGCCCAGCTGGACCTTTCCCCAGCCTCCTCCACAGCCAACAGAGCTACACTCCAGCTTCATCAGCTGTTCATCTTCCTCCTCAGATTCAGACTCTGACGGGCATGACACCTAAACTGACTGTAGCTAAGTGTCATAACAGATTCTGGGGTCCAAGACAGGCCAAAGGGACAACTCCCAGAACTTGTTGTAGTACAAGGATGCAACCCGCCATGAATCTACAGTAGTTAGCATGACAAGCAAAGACTGACAAATTATAACTCGGAGTACAGGTAATCCTCAACTTATGACCACAAACGACCCCAAACTTTATGCTGCTAAGTGAGGAATTTCTTAAAAGTGAATTTTGCCCCATTTTACAACTTTTCCTTGTCAGGTCTGTTGAGTTAATCACTGCAATTGTTTAAATTAGTCACATGGTTGTTAAATGAATCCAGCTTCCCCATGGGCTTTGCTTGTCAGACG